ACTTATAATTCATCAAGGGATCACGCAGGGGGTGGGGGAGGCAAAAAAGAGGAGCTGATACCACGGGCTCAATAGAAAGTAAATGATTAGAAAATAATGATGGCAACATATGTACAAATATGCTTGCTACAATTGATGTATGGCTTGTTCTAAGAGTTGTAAGAGCCCCTAATAAAATGATCTTTTAATAAAATTAAAAAAATGAATATAGCAGATTTGATCGATCTATTTTACAAAGAATAGACTCCCGCCCTCCACTCCCCTCCCTTCATTCCTCTGTCAGTTTGTCGTACTGTGGTGGCTCTCGTGTCCGTGTGAGCTAGAAGCTATGTCACTGGTATTTCAATGTCAGTAGGGACACGTTTCAGCAGAGGTTCCAGATCAAGCACAGACTACGGGGAACAAACAGGCTGCTCACTTCTGAGGGAGTAGCTACTGAAAACCTCATGATCAGCCGAGGAGCACTTTCTGCTACTGTGCCAAATGACGAGAGCCTCAGGTTGAAAGGCTCAAGAAGAACTGCTTCCTCAAAGATCAGGCCAGACCTCTGCTCGCGCTGCCGTGAGATTCCTGAGAATTCTTTGGAGAATCAATGACAAACTTTGAGGCAATGTTCTGGGACTAGATCCAGGGGAAATCTTGGGTAATTTTAAGACAGGTGAACCTAATTGAAACTGCTTGAGATGATGTAGCTACATGTGTGTGTGTTTCTTTGTTTTTGTGTGGCACTAAGCCTGTTATTTGAATTGACACCAGGAATCCAGTGAGTATGTGATCCTTTCCACAGAGGGCGTCCATTTGGAAAACATCTGTTGTCCACACCCGGGAAGGTGTGTGATACTCTTTCACGAGGATCTCTGTTTTAAATGGGAGAGCAAAGGGTACATTCGAGTAGGGCATATTGATGCCCAGCAGAAGGTGATTGGAATCAGCGAGTGGACATACTGGTATGTTCCCTTAAGGTGGACACTTGGGTCAATGAAATGAGGGGACTGTGCAGAAATGGGCTGAATCCAAGGACATTCATTTTGAACCCCCTGAGGCACAAAATGCCAATGTAGTCTGCTCTGTCTGACAGCAAGAAAGACGGTGGTCTTTGAGTTGATTCCCCACGGGAGAAGGCCCTGCACCTGGCTGGCACGTAGATGATATCGACTCAATGACACCAGGTGGCAGGTGTGCAGAAATGAGTCCTCATAGACATAGACCCTGACTCGGGACTGGACCACGCATATACTGTAACCGATGCAAATGTCAAAAGCAACATTAAGGGATGAACACAAAAGATACTGTTTCAGTTTGACCACCAAGTTACATTTCCTCAGATCGAGAAACACACTTTACAAGCTAAAAATGCACCAAAGGGCATATCTTGGATAGAGAATTGGAATGAGTAATTGAAACATTTGTTATCTAAAACCAGGGGAGATAAATGCTCGATGAATATGCATGCTCACACTCAGCATGAGAAGCCAAGGGATAGCTTCCTATGTTTCTTGGGGAAAGAGGAAAAGGGGCTCGTGGAAAATGCTGGTGCATTCCCCATATCACCTGAAATCTATTTTTCTCTGCAGGGTGCTGCGGCTCTAGGACCAGGGACACAGCTGTGAGCTCCAGAAGCATGGATGCCCCTCATCAAGAGAGGGTGACCACATCCCTGAACCTGCATGCCATCATTCCCAGGGGCTTGATGGGAATGGTACTTACTCCTATTAGGCAACATTGGGGTCGACAGCGAGTAGCGCTGTGCTCCTTAGTGGTCAAGATAGCCCAACTAGTCTTGTACCTGTGTAAGCCCACTCAACATGAGTGGACGGAGGGAGAAGCACTTGCCAGACTGGTTTTACCTCTAACAAGCTGCACTGGCACGGCAGCTGAACCTGACCTGCCTTCCCAAGGTGGAAACGTTTGGGTAAAAGTGAATAAGAAGTGGAAGGAAGGGAAAACAACAGCTGATGGTAAAAGGATGAATGCTTGGGTTACGCTGTGGAAAAAAACCATAACATTATTCTTATACCCTGAGAGAGATTTAGGACAGGGGAATAACCTTCCCTGGGATAATTTTATCAAGGGAGAGAGGGTGAAGATGAGATAAACTTTTGAAGAACCTGAGTAGAGTCAGTGGACACCTGCAGTGACCTGAACGGCTGATACCTAAATCACCTTTGCCTTAACCTTAGGGCTCTGCCGTAGTGAAGGACTGCTTTGGACGAATAAAAGGTTTGGAAAGGGGGAGTTCATCCTTCAAGAATGAAAGAGTCAGTGGTTAGAAGAGTCAGGGAGTTGCTTGTAGTGCAGGTAATTACTTCATATGGCTCTTCTTAGGGAGCCCTGATGGCTCAGTGGGTTACGTGTTGGGCTGTAACCACAGGTCAGCAGTTTGGAACCAGCAGCCCCTCCTCTGGAGAAGGATGGGAGTTTTTTACTCCGATGAAGATTTATAGTCTTATCGCTACAGGGCAGTTCTACTGTGTCCTATAGGACCCGTATGAGTTGAAATTGAATAGATGGCAATAAGTTTGGCTTTATTATTTATTTTTTAAATGGCTCTTCTAGACATATTCCTTCCATTTGTGATGCATTCTAAATTCTATGGCTTTGGTCCCGTTTAGAGTGAGTTATCTATTATGTTAATGAGGCAGGATGAAGGTGGGATGTATGTTGAGTCCCCACCTGACTAGAGGTTGTGACTCAAGTCACTCTTTGTTTCCGTGGGGTTATTATGGTCTGTAGAGGCTATGTAATCTTTGATATCTTTGTAAAAACAAGAACTGCCAGTTTAAACTGTACCCTTCATAGGAAAATCACCAGCTGCCTGATTAATTGAGAAGACCCGGAGTCGGGGGTCACAGAGCTGGCTGAGACTAGACCTTGCCCACCTAAGATGTGCCAAAGGGACCAACGTGCCCTCTACCTAACCTACATCAGAAGTGAAAACACACACCTCCATCAAAGCCCAAGACCCCATCGTTGGGACTCCCCCGTTCCTGACTGAGCCTGCACCGAGGCCTGGTGCTGAGTCCTCCGGCAACCCAGTGACAGCTATCCATCAGACATCAGTTATCATCCCAAGGAAACCACTGACCCATGACTCGGGTTGCCATCTTCACCTGTGCTGAGCAACTTTGAGAAGGTTTGTCCTCTTGATGTGAATCCTGCCCCTTGGTACTTGAGCCCGCAGTCTGTCCCTTGGCCTGATTCACCAGATGCTGCAGTCCTGTGAGTTACCAGGCCGCTTTGGTGTGAATGAGGAAAATCCCCCAGATGGGTGTTGAAGCTACAGACTTAGGAGTTTGTCCCCTTCGAGCGGTTTCTTGATGGCTTGTGAGTTCTAGGAGATGCTGCTGCCCATTCTGGAGCCACGAGACACGGTGGGGGGTGGGTCTGGGGGTGGGCGGGGGGCGGGGGTGGGGCGCGGACTGAGGGGAGGAGTGGTGGCTGACCTCAGGGATGATGCAGTGGTATAGCATTTTGGAAAAATCAGATATATGGGACACCATTAACCTCTACCTCAATGAAATCTACCTTGTACTAATCCTGTGACAACTAGGTTCTGTGTCAATTTAGCTGGGCCAGGATTCTCAGTGATTTAGGCGTTAATGCCTAGTGTGATCTAACACAATGCAATCAACTCCATAGTAGGATCTTCTGCAAATCAGTAGTAAGATGATCAGGGTGGAAAGAAATACTCATACTCAGGTCACAGCCCGATGCGATAGAAAGAAAGTGTCCTCTGGGGTGTGACCCACTTCCTAGGTCAATGGACGCTGTGGAAAAGCTTGTGTGCTTTTTGCTTGGTCTGGGTCCTCCCTCTGACTCATTGACCTCTGCTTCTTTGTACTTGAACCAGTAGTTTGCCATCTTGTCTGCTGATCCCCAGAACTACCTGACCTGCTGACCTTTGATTCATCCACCCCTGCAGTCACCAGCTTGCAGTCTTCTGGCCAATCGTGGGTCTGTCCGCCCTTGGAGGGTGGTAAGGCAGGAGTAGACTGTAGCCCAATGTCTGATCCACAGCCGTGGAAACTTCCAGCATTTGCACTGGCCCGCTTCTACACTAGGGGCCATTTGCTGATGGAAAGTTCTCTATATATACATAAGTGGGAGAAAGGTGAGGCTTTCTACTCTTATTCAGAGTTACAGTCTCCGAAAGCCACAGGCGCTCTGTCCTCTAGGGTGCTGTGAGTGCGAATGGACTGACACGGTGAGTGAGTGAGTGATATATACACACATGTCAGCATCACAGCTTTCCTCCTCTAGAAACCCCAGCCCGAACCGCTTCTAAAGCACGTGCATTTTAACATGGAGTGGAATGGAAACTAACAGAGAATATTGTACGTGGGAAGAATAAATATTACCTTCTGAAATTCGGATTTATTTGCATATTTGTGGTGTGCTCATCCACAGACGTGTATGTGTACTGGGTCCATTGGAAAAATGCACACCCTGCTTTAGACTACAGCCATAAAAGTGTGCACGCATCACACTTTTTCCTCTCCTGCCCCATATCGCACCCCATGTTTCTGGTGCACTTTTAACTAGCTGCCCTCACTGCAAAAGGCCTGGTCGTCCCTCCCCAGTGGGATATTATATTTCAGGGCTCAATCCTTAAAGCCTGAATTGGGGAGTTCAAGCCCCAATGTAACCTCTGGCAGAACAGATGGCAATTCTGGAAGAATTTCTCTTCAGAAAGTTAGCCAACTTAGAATAAGAGAAGAAAACGTGACCAGGCAGTTCCTGCGGTCAACAGCCCTGCTCCTTCCTCCCTTGCCGAGAGCTATAAAACCCAACGTTGGCAAACAAGAGCAGCACCCGCCACGGGTGGCTGTGTTGAGAAGATGCATCTTCAGTTCCTTCTCCTGGGGGCATTTCTCCTGTGGCCCACATCTGACGCTGGTGAGTCTTGGGGCTTCTTCTCTGGAGGCTAGAGGATGAACCCTCAAACCAAAGGATCTTGATTTGAATATAGCTGACTCATAAGCAGTCTCAGAGTGAAGTCTCCCCTTGAGGTAGGCTGATCCACTCCGTGGAGGCTCTGGTGGTCCTCGCGTATGAGAAATTGGTTTGGGCAAAGCCAAGAGTAAGTGAGGCAAAGGGCATCCCCAAGAAAACAGGCATCTCCTCTGACGCGTCTGAGTTTCAGGATGACTCAAGATCTTGTGACTTGATGGCTCTGTGATCCCACTGGGTCTATGGAGAAGCCAGGACATGAACCCGGAGAGCATGTCCTGCTCAGTGGCACAGAAAAGGGGGTCTGGGAGAGGAAACACCTAAAAGACATCTAAGACAGGTTAGTGGTTGCATCCTGCAAGAAGGAATGAGGATCATTGCAGAAAAACAGATACTAGAGACATAAAAGGGGGAAGCGTGTTGAAAACAGGGTGAGGATGAGATTCAAGGGGGGCCTCACTCAACTTAGACCCAACTTGTGTATTCTCTCGACAAAGAACGTTGCCTATCTTGGGTTCTCTGTTTCAGGGGAGATCATCGGGGGCCATGAGTGCAAGCCACACTCCCGCCCCTACATGGCTCACCTGGAGATTGTCACCCCCCACGGCCACATAGGGAACTGTGGTGGCTTCTTGATAAGACGAAACTTTGTGCTGACCGCTGCTCACTGTGCAGGAAGGTGAGAAGACAGGATCTTACCCATCTCCAAGTGGGAGAACTGGTTGGAAAGGATACACCCATGAGGAGGAATTCCTAGATTGGATAAACTCTAAGGACAGGAAAAGTTACACTTGAAGTTAGCCTTATACTTGTAGAGATGCCCTGAGCCATGGTCACTGTGAGTGCAGGCCAGGGTACCTTATCCTGTAAGAGTAGCACTCCTTCCCCAGTATAAAGATATGCCACTGACTTTTGGGGACCCTGGTTCATTGGGCCACTTTCTCTACACTCGTACAGAGCCCTGGTAATTCGTTCTTAGGGACCGGAACCCATCCTATTTATGAGCGCCAGAGAGCCAGGCTCACACAGTATCTCATCACTTTGCTCTTTCTTTCGATAGCCTGGCATCAGGGGGATGACCGCGATGGAGGGCTCCTTGCATTACGAAATGCTAACCCTGTCCTGGTTGTTCCTCCCTGACCTACTCCCGAGACGACGAAACACCAGCCTCAGTGTGTCCGACTCATAGATAGTGACCCTGTAGGGCAGAGTAGAAGGCCAACTACAGAGACAGACCCTCTGTGGTTTCCAAGGCTGCAATCTTTACAGCACGTCCTGCCACATCTTTATCCCATGAAGTTTAAACTGCCAACCCTCCAGGTAGCAGACAAGTGTTAACCATGAGATCCCCAGGACTCTAAGACCTGCTCAGTCCCCAGCAGCTCCCAAAGACCTGTTTATTCCCCAGCAATTCTGGAGTGTCCTGGAAGGTTCTATGTGTCCTGAGTAAAATCTGATCCCCCGCAATACCGCAAGTGGCCCCGCTAAAGTCCTGGGTCAGGACCTGGTGAGATACTCCACTCCCTTTTTCTTAAAATGGGGACATTTCAGGAAGAAAACACAACCATCATGGTTTCTCCTGAGCCTCCCACCCCCCCACCCACAGAACTATAACCGTCACCCTCGGAGTCCACAACATAGAGAAGGAAGAGGACACTTGGCAGAAGCTCAAGGTCATCAAGCAAATTCGGCATCCCAATTACAATCCCTTCACCATTCGCAATGACATCATGCTGCTGAAGGTAAAAAACGCCTTTCTTCCCTTCTCGGTTATCTGCCCCATTACTGTCACTTCCCCAACTTCCCTTTCAATGCAGCCCTTCCCGGCCCAATCGGACCCGCCAGGCAGCTATTTGCCCTGCTCCTTCCACATGGCATCCAGCTGACCCGTGACTGGTTTCTAGTGCTGACAGGCACCGCTTCTCTTCACAGTTAGAGGAGAAAGCCAAGCTGACCCTGGCCGTGGGCACACTGCCGCTCCCATCGGAACCCAACTTTGTCCCACCTGGGCGAATGTGCCGGGTGGCCGGCTGGGGCATGACGGGCGTGAACAAACCTGGCTCAGACACCCTGCAGGAGGTGAAGCAGAGACTCATGGATCCCCAGGCCTGCAAGCACTATTCACATTTTGACCACAACTCCCAGCTGTGTGTGGGCAATCCCAGGAAGAGAAAATCTGCCTTTAAGGTAACTTTCAAACTTGAGTTCTTCCCCACAAATCACTGGGGGGTGGGGTGCGTGTGGGGGGTGGGGGTGGGGGCATCATTCTTTTGGGAGGAGGCGGTGTCAGGGGTTTGTCAACTAGTGGTAGGAGTTGCAGGACTGAGGAAACTAGAAAGTTCCCTGAGCAGATGCTCCCAACCCCTACCCCCCACAGTCTGGTACGGCCTTAGACCTGCCATCCCGGAGCATAGGGGAGGTGAGCAACATGAACAAGGCCTAGAGCCTGTCCTTGGAAGGGCGTGGTCTGCTTGTGCTAGGAGTTGGCTCTCACAGGCAGGACTGGCAGCCTGGCTTAACTCGCTTTCTGTTCTCTGTCTCCCCACACAGGGAGACTCTGGGGGCCCTCTTCTGTGTGCTGGGGTGGCCCATGGCATTGTCTCCTATGGGAAGTGGAATGCAAAGCCCCCCGCTGTGTTCACTCGCATCTCTGCTTACCGGTCTTGGATCAATGAGGTCCTGAAGGGGGAGCATTAACCCTGCTCGCCGGGCCAGCCAGAGCAGCATGCCAGACTGGCACCTGAACCCAGCTCCGCACCCTGCACGCTCTACCTGCCTCTGGTGCCTGAGGCACCATCGCCGTCACAGATCCCTGAGCCTCAAGAAGTTTCCTGTGGGTTACAGAACTCTCCCTGAGCTTCCATAAAGACCTGCTTCCAGATTGGAGTGTGTGTCTTCTCTCTCTGACTGGAAGATTTGGAAGGGTTCTATGGGCGTGGGTGTGTGCGAGAACGTACACATGTGAGAGAGGACGAGGGCGAGAGGAGACACGAGGGAAACAGAGGAGGGGGAGGATGGGTTTCCCTGCCAAGGCGGAGTCCCCGTTTTTATTTTAGTAAGTAATCGCCCCAGGTCTTCTTTGCCTTCATCACCCACCCTGGTCTAATTCTGATGTATCTTTATTAATTCTCAATCACAATAAGAACGTTTTGAATTGCAAACAAAATGTAGGATGTGGACTAGCAATCCTTCCCGCTCCCTACTAGATGTACAAGCAAAAAAAACGTCTGCACACATGGATAATTGTTGCTCGGGGGTGGGAACCATTCTTTTTACACACAGGGTATAGAAAAGATAGTTGGTACCACACAGGGCCTCTGCCACAGTCCACCTAGATAAGAGAAGGTCGAGCTGTGTGGAGCTTTGAATATGAGAGGCAGAGAAGATGGCTTCTCCCTCAGGGCTGCAAAGCGGATACCAAGGGGAGATAAGAGGAGCCCACAGTGTCGCAAACCAAGCCTTAAAGGGAAGTAGACGCAGCAGGAGGCAGAAACGCAGACCCTGTGCGGCTCTTACCATGACTACACCAGACAAAGCAAGACAGGACAAGGGCAGACCCACAGGACCCGGATGCTGATCACCCCACTTCCAGGGGTACAGTAATTCTCTCTGACCCAGGGGACCGTCCCTAGTTGTTGCCATTAGGTGCTGTTGAGGTGGTTGTAACCCGCAGCGACCCTACGCAAACAGAAGGAAACACAGCCCTGTCCTGTGCCCTCCTCACCAGTGTTGCTCCGTTCACTGCCCCTGTGACTTCCTGAGACTGTCACTCTGTTGTTCCGCGGGGAGGGGACTGTAACTCCTTACGGGAGCAGAAAGCCCCATTGTTCTCCTATGAATAGGAAGATAGAATAAACCTAGCAAAATCTAGAAATTTAATATGTTACCGATAAAAATACTAACATGTTGTGTAAGGGAGAGACATGGAAGCTAATTCCAAAGTTCATACAAAAAAATTAAATACAAGATTAACTAGGGAAATTTTGAAAATGCTTAATGATGAAGCAAGATTGTTTTTCAAAATATTAGGACCCATTATGAAGCTATTATCAGCTAAATTATACGGTATTATTATAGAAAGAAAAGTAGGTGAACATGACAACATTTCTATCACTTAAGTATTTATTAACACATGTAATATTTATGTTTGTGTGCGTATAAACACTGGTGGGGCTGTCAGGTAATCAATGAACTGCTAACCACGAGGTCAGCAGCTCAAACTCACTAGCCACTCCTCAGGAGAAAGATGAAGCTGTCTGTTCCCATAACGACCCACAGCCTCAGAAGCCCTAGGCAGCCAGTCCTTTCTTATCCAACCACTTCAGGACTAGTCCTTTGCTGGGACCGAGGCTGTGCTTTTTCCGGAAAATAGGGCCCTTACCCAGAGAAGAGCTCTGGGGGCATCGTGGGTTATATGTTGGGCTACCACCACAAGGTCAGTAGTTTGAAACCACCAGCCGCTCCAAGGGAGAAAGAGGAGGCTTTCTACTCCCACCTGAACTCCCAGGTGCAGTTCTAATGGCTATACGCTGGAATTGACTTTATGGCACTGAGCCCCCTGCCCTCCCACCCCCTCAGGAGCAATGGACGCACCAGATACTGGGAATCACGATCAGGACAAGCTTATCACTTCCTCCAGGCCATCGTCCTCCTCGCGCTTCCATCTTCCCCGCTTTCCGGCACTTTGAAGAACGATGACAGGACGTATCTCTCCCGAGGCAGGGCTTTATCAGCCCTCCCGTGACGTCCCTCTGTTAGCTAGTAAAGCATACTTTAATGAAACACACACCACTGATGTGTAGAAGCACACACAGGCCAATGGGGCAGAATTAGAATTTCATCAAAGGTTCACTTTAATACACGATGAAGGCGACATCTCAAGTAGCTGAGAAACGGTGACGTTCTAATAGCCGAGCAGAGGTGCTCGAGAGACAGAAGAGCAGAAAGCCGGAAACAGTTGGAACGGGAACTGAGCCCTAATGCACCTTTGTGTCCCGAATAACGTCCAATGAATTGGCCATCAATGGGCTAGGTAACTGTCCATCTGGCATCCTCCCTGCCCCTGCCCACCCCAGAAAAGAAGGGTCAGCAGAAAGGGTCTCGATTTACCCCTCCTGTTTGAAGCGTCTCATTGTTGACCTTATCCAAGGCAAGAAGTTTCCAATCTTGGTGAAGACCGCTGGAGGGATCCCATTCAGCTTTCCATAGGACACGATGCCCTGGGCCACGTTGTTGCAGACCAGGGGGCCCCCAGAGTCCCCCTGTGGACAGAGAGGGGGAGGGGGCTAAGCCAGACAGCCCCCCTCCAGGCCTGCCCCTCCACGTGGCCTGAAGTCTTTCACTCAGAATGAGGCCCAGCGGTTCCCGGAACTGCAGGCTGAGGCGATGCCCTAGTGATGCCCTGCGGCCTTGCTTCGCTCGGCCGATGCCTCTAGTCCCAACCCAAGTCCCAAGTCCCATGGCCACTGGGGACTGCTTCCTGCCTGCGGCCCAGAGCAAGGCGAGGCGCTTTCATTTACCCCCGGAAAACTCTGCAGGTTAGCATGTGGTCAGGACTGCCCCCCCCACCCCCACCTGCTCTGTGTCACCCCTTAGACCAGTGGTTCTCAACCTGTGGGTCGTGATCCCCCTGGGGGTCGCCTAAGACCATCGGAAAACACGTATTTCCGATGGTCTTAGGAACGGAGACACCGCTCCTCTATCTGCCTCCAGGCGGGTCTGCCCACCTGCAGATATGCCCAGATACGAGTACCCAGTGTGAAGACTGTTAGCCATGTTACACCATGCTTTCGAGACAACATTTCATTTAATCGTCGTCAGAAAGAAACATTTCACAAGATATAATTACATATTGTTTTTGTGATTAATCCCTATGCTTTAAGTATGTTCAATTTGTAACCATGAGAAGACATTCGGCCTATCAGATATTTACATTAGGATTCATAACAGTAGCACGATTGCAGTAGCACAACACGAGGCCCTGTATCAAAGGGTCCCAACATCAGGAAGGTGGAGAACAGCGTTAGACTGAGGACGCCGGGCTGCAGTCTGCTCCCACGCTCCCAGCTCTGCCCAGGCCCCTCCTTCTCAGGGTTGTGTAGACAGATTCCCGGACACTTACCAGGAAGACAGACTTCCTTTCCTCTGGGCTCCCCACACAAATCTGCAGCAGGCTACGGTACTGTCTGAAGCGGTTGTGGCACTCCTGGTCTCTCTGAATGCGCAGTTGAACATCCTGGAGGATGCTGGTCCTCTGGTTCAAACTGACCAGGCCCCAGCCGGCTGCGGTGCACACGGTGCCGGGCTGCAGCCTGGTCTGGGAGCGAGGCAGAGCCACGGGTCTCACGAAGCGATTCTGCCGTGTTCTGTTTCCCAGCTGTCAGGAAGAACACAGATACTCCTGCTAGCTGGGACCCCAGGCAAGCCCTCGGGGCCTGCTGGTTTGGGGGTCCTCTTCACACCCACATCCCCACCTGGGGCGATGCCCCTGATTCCTCCTCCTCCGTGGATTTCAGGACCCAGTGGAACTGCTTCACTAAGAGGGGCCTGCTGAGCGTGGGAGACCCGAGTGGTTCTCTGGCGAGTGGTACCTTCAGCAACATGATGTCATTCAGCTGGGTCTGCGGGTTATAATTGGGGTGAAGGATGACTCTGCGCGCAGGAATTCGCTGCTGGGTTCTTTCTGGCCTCTTGATGTTGTGGGCCCCCAAGATGACATTAATGGTGCTGCCAAGAAAAGACGCCTAGAGGTTCGGTGTGGCACAGGAGCTATGGTCCTCCGACTCTGCCAGGCAGGTAGACAGCCAGGGCAGGTAGGACACAGTTGAGGAGACCCGGAGGAGCCGCAGGACGGAGCTACTGGGTGCCTCTGCTTGTCAGCACCCCCAAACGTGGCATGACAGGGGCACAGTGACCTGACCAGAGCCAGCATGGTTTCTGCTTCCACGTCCTATTATTTTCAATTTGTGGCTCCATTTCTCCTCAGAAATGCTTCTGACACTCACCTGTGTCCCACCCCACCCCCGCCAACTTTCTAGATCTCCTTTTTAACCCTTTTTATTTGCACAGCCTCGTTTTCAGATGGGCCCGATCAGGAGCTCGTTTGGGCCCCAGGTCACTGTCTGCGTTAGAAATTCCCCAGGGTCTCACCTGCCCGAGCAGTGAGCTGCTGTCAGCACAAAGTCTTCTCGCACCAGGAATCCCCCACAAGTACTAGCACCGTTCTGAGACCGGATCTGCAGAAACGCCATATAGGGGTGGGAGTGGGGCCTGGCCTCTCGGCCTCCGATGATTTCCCCTGGAAGAAAGGGTTTGGCCTGGGTCTCTGTGCTCAGGGAGCTTGATAGTGTGGCACCCCTGGTGGGGGTGGAGTGGGGCGGAAAGAAGGGGGTCCCAGCAAGGCTAGGAGATGGAGGAGGCAGAGGAGAGGGTGTGCGGGAAGGAGGACCTGGACTTGGGGGGGCTGCAGGTCACTAGGCATGGGGAGAAGACTGCACGGTTCTGTAAGAAGCACTGCTGCCTTGAAGGGAGACGCATCTCTCACTTGCTCCCTCGCCCCCGACAACAGGGCAGACTAGTCCTTGGCAAAGGGCAGCTTCAGCCTCAGACGCCAGAGGACACGTGCTCTGCTCTCAGGGTGGAAGCCGGAGGCCTCCGGAGTGGGCTCTATCTGCGGTTTCTTCCCCAGGGAGTGCTCCCGATCTTAATCCTTCTGAATCTGGCTATAGACAGACAGTTCGTGGTCAGAACGGGATTCACTTCTAAGGCTCTGGACATGAGTGCACCTGACTGTTGGGTCTCCAGGTTGAATTCACCCCGCACGTGTATGTAGCATTGCCCACGTGCTGGGCACGATCCTAAGAGCACAGCAGTTCAACCCTCAGCGGAACTCTGAGGTCGCTATTATCACCCCCGGTTTATCGGTAAGGAAATGGAGGCACTGCGAATTCAAATAGCTGGTTAAGGACAGTTAGGATGTGGTGAAGGCAGATTCAGAGCCAGGCAAATCGGCTCCAGAGCCGATGGTGCTGACAGCCATAGAGTGTTTAGTGACGGCCGGGCGGAGTAGGAGGGAGTGGATCGGGGAAGCCCACGGCTCCTGTACTCGGAGTTTACCTCCACCACTGGCGCGTATCTGGAGAAGGATGTGTACCAAAGGCCTAGAATGCGGAGAGGTGGGAAGTGGAAGATGCTGTTTGCATACCGAAAGAGGTTTTTGTGCCTGAGAAGTAACCGAATGTGGGAGCACGGGGGTCTTGGGCTAATGTCCTGGCAGACTTAGACTAGGAAAGAGCGGAAAATCACTGTAAGCAACTATGTTTTCCTGTCAACTCAGAGATCCCTCCCGCTGTGCCGTCCATGGCAAGTGAGCATGCTTTCCTGGGACTGGAGAAACGATTATGTACATTGCTTCTCATTTCTAGGTTTGTTCCTTTCTCCAGAATCCTTTGACCATCTAGAAAATTACTATTTTCCGATGACAAGGGCATGATCCAAACGAGGGAGAAAGCACACCACCCTCTAGTGCAGTGGTTCTCAACCTTCCTAAGGCTGCGACCCTTTCATACAGCTCCTCATGTTGTGGTGAGCCCCCAACCATAAATTTATTTCCGTTGCTACTTCATAGCTGTAATTTTGCTACTGTTATGAATCAGAAAAACCCTGTGAAAGGGTCATTTGACGCTCAAAGGGGTTGCGACCCACAGGTTGAGAACCACTGCTTTAGGGAGCAGTTTTCTTTCTAGCTCCTCAATGTTCTATTCAGCTTTCGGCTTTAGAATGCTCCTGGAAGGAAATGAGGCCAGGATGGAGCCGAGGATGTGATCCAAGCTGCCTGGAAACACTGTAAGAAGGGCGTTCGGCCTTGGGGTGTCCTTGGTCACTTACCTGCTCCAGCCCCAGCAGGGAGAAAAAGGGCCGACAGGAGAAAGAGCAGCTGCATCTTCTCAGGATGGTTGCTGGATCCGTTGCTGCGTGCGCTCCCTCCTGCTTGGCTGTTAGTCCCTCTCACAGGGAGAGGAAGGAAGGGAGGAGGGATGGAGAACTCGCAGTCCCATTCTCCTGTTGGGGTGATGGGTTTCATCACCCAAGGCTGCCCAAGCGGTTCCCCATCAACTGCCAGTGAGCTGGATACAAAGAGAGTAATCCGAGCAAACACCCTGACCTCCCACGCAGCTGGTGAGTCAGCGGGAAAGGCTGAAACAGGAACCCAGGGCAACTAGGGGAAAGGGTTTCAGTACCTTGCCCCAGCACCCGCAGCCCACGAAGCTTAGTGATATCCCCAACAATGCGTGGCACCCAGAGGTTGCTTACGGACTCCAATTTCCAGCACTCTGGGATCAGAGCTTCAGATATTTGGAATTTTAGAGGTTACTAAAATGATTCCAAGATCCTGGGTTGCTCCTTCGGGACGATATCCATAATATGCTACATTAATAAAGGAGCTCTCAGGTTGAGGAGCAGTATATTTCTCTTACACAAGAGAAAAAAAATCCCGGGTTGCATGTTTCTATGTTCTAAGTGTTGGAGAAGCGTGGTGGGAAACCGGCTGGTTGAAAAAAACAGAAGAAAACCGAGGCGTGCCTGTCTTCAAACTTTGGCCCCAGGTTACCTTTCTGAGACTTCAGTTGCTCTTTCTTTTTCCTAGAAAATTTCAAGGCAGCTAAGTAGCTCTTTTCCCTGAGTGAATGGAGGGGCTGTCAGATGGGGGGGGCCCTAGAAGTAAGGCTTTGACAGTGATCTTTACTTTCTTAGGTTCCTTGAAGCTTACAAACGTTCCTAGAAAATGATCACACGGTCAAAGATTTCTGCTCTCCATTTGCTTTACCTAGCCGACGTTCCAGAGCGAGTTTCAGAGTGGTTCCTGACATTCCATTTGGTGTTATCCTTCTCTCTTGCTTTTCTAGTGACCCTTTGATGCCTTCAGAAGTGATGTTCTTGATGCCACCCCACAATGCGCCAGGTCTTGGTCATTAGCATTCACTGTGTCAAATCTAACCTGGAGATGTCCTCTTCATTCAGGAAGGATCGTTTTGACTCTGGACTTATTTTAATTTTCTTCAGCTGTAGCCTGGACTTTCTGGCTTTGTTCTGGCTGATGATATTGAAGTCCTCCACCAGCAATTCCTACAGATAAAGTTGCCATTGATGTAGCTGAAAACATACTTGCAAGGAAGTAGTCCTTGGTCTTGCAAAATGCTGCCGTATAAGCTCCAGCTTTGTTTTTTTTTTATCACCAAGGCTGTTTTCTGATGCTTGTTCCCCCTTCATTGTTCCCCACGTTCTCACTCAAGTGCCGAGGGTTATCAACACATCGTGATGGCATGCTTGATCAACTTCAGAGAGTCCCTCAGTTTCTCGTCCCTGGCTTTAGTGCTTGGTGAGTAAATTAGCATAATTGCTGCGTGAAGTGGACTTCCTTGTCGGTGAATCGATATTGCCCTATCAGAGACAGCATTGCACTTCCAGACAGACCTTGAACCGTCCTTTGTGAAGATGGACGTGATGCCGTTCTCTTACATTTGTCATGGCTGGCAGAGTAAATCATGTGATTGTCTGCCCTAAAATGCCCTACCCCTGTTCGTTTCAGTTGCATAACTCCCAGCACATCAATCTTTATGCGTTCCATTTGACTTTTAACGACTTCTAGTTTTCCCAGGTTCATACTTCACACGCTCAGCGTTCTGATCATTAATGGGCATTCACAGTCGCGTCTTCACATTATGACCAGCAAATGCAGGTTCCAGAAGTTTTACTCCATCCTCACCACTGCGGTCAGCGCTACTTTGAGTAAGCAGAACTTCCCCAGGCAGGTGTTCAGTGGCTTTTAACCGGAGGGGCTCATCGTCCAGCATGATATGTGACAATGCTCTGCTGCGATTTATAAGGGTCTCAGCAGCTAATCTCTGAGACGTGGACAGCTCCTTCCTTCTGAAACCTGTTCACCACAGGCAACCCTGCTGCTATTGGAAATACTGGCGGCGTAGAGTCCAGCATGACAGCCACCCTAGCTCCCAAGATTCGGCAGACGGACAGGTGAGTGGGGAGCTCTTGAATATAGAGTAGGTAAAATGAGTGTAAGAAATTAAGTAAAAAAGCTGAACAGAAAATCTCAAAGGGAAGCTCAAGAATACAACGTGTTACAATGAGACGTGCAAAGACCTGGAGCTAGGAAAGCAGAGGGGAAGCACCCGCTCAGCTTATCTCAAATGGAAAGAGCTGAAGAAAGAAAATTCAGGCCTGCCTGGTGTTGCAGTATGGGAAGAATATATAGGAAACACATGAAATGCCGCCATAGGAAACATTAAATCATGGAAGGAATACACAGAGACACGATATCAAGGATTGGTCCATGTTCCACAGTTTCAAGAGGTAGTTTATGATTAGGAACCAGTGGTTCTGAAGGAAGAAATCCAAATGGCAATGAAGGCATTTAACGGAAAACAAGGGTCCCTGAATTGGCATGCCAATTGGCTGGTTTTAAATAACTGACACAGCACTGGAAGCACTCATTCCTCAGTACTTGACAAGGTTGAATGTCAAGTTCAGAAGACGTTACCCAGTCAACTAACTGGAGAGATCCATATTTATTCCCGTTCCAAAGAAAGGTGACTGACCAGAATGTGGAAATGATCTAACAAGATCACGTGCATGTGAAATGTTGCTGTAGAGAACTCAACAATGGCTGCAGCAGTACACTGACAAGGAGCTGCCAGGGTTCAGGCCAGATTCAGAAGAAAATGCGGAATGAGGGCTATCATTGCTGACAATTGGGAAGATGCTTGCTTGTAGTTTATTGACGATGCAATAGCTGACAACTATATTGGTCATAATACAGCTGGACAACATTGACAAGGAGGGGAATTCAATCTTGTTCGTGTGACACCTGAACACAGACAGAGAGACTAGCACAAGGAGATGCTGAGTGGTGAAAATCAAGAAGGTGTGTGTCAGTGCTGTATCCTTCTGTCACCCTCGTCTTCCATCTGTAGGCTGAAGAAATAATATGAGAAGACGGATTACAGGAAGCAAGCAGCATCAGCACCGGAGGCGGTCTCATGAACCACCTAGGACACGTAGCTAACACAGTCTTGGTTGCTGGACGTGAGGAGGACTTGAAACACTTGCTGATGGAGGTCAAGGAGTGCAGCCTGCAGTGTGGACCCCAACTCTAAAGAAAACACAGAGCCTCACTGGGCCAATGAACAACACAATAAATCAAGAAAAGAGTGAAGTTGTCAGCAGTTTCATGTCCCTTGGCTCTGTAATCAATGGTCATAGAAGCAGCCGTCAAGAAATGAAATGGCATATTACATTGCGCAAATCTGTTATGCCAGATCTCTTTAAAGCATTTCAGAGCAAAGGTGCTGCTTTGAGGACTAAGCTACCCCTGGCCCAAGCCAGGATATTTTCAATCACCTAAGGAGCCGCGGAGGTGTTGTCTGGTAAGTTTTGCACTGCTGATCGCAAGTTTGGTGGTTCAAACTCACCAGCTCTCCAGAAAGATGAAGCTGTCAGTTCTCATAGATTCTCATCCTTGGAAAATCTCTATGGGGTCACAATGAGTCATAATCTACTCAATGACATTGGGTTTTAGGTCTTTTTTCCCCCCTGTGGTATATTTTTTTTACAAATGATTTTAATAATTACAAAATTAGCAATACTGAAATTTTTTTCAAATGGAAAAAATGTCAGCTTTAGTCCGATTACTCTAACTGCCCACAAAAGAATTGATGACACATATGGTTTTTAATTAGAAACACAGACATCTATAAAGGAAAAACAAACCAGAAGGCAAGTACACCTGTTTGCATAAGCAGAGATTGCACTGTCATGCAGACTGCCCTGTACCCGGTTTGTATCTGAACTGTACCTGGTGAACAGTCTTCCATGTGAAAAAAAAAACAAGTGTTGTATTCGGGTTTCTTCCACTTTTCCAAAATTTTTTGTATGCCCATCACACATCAGGCTTCATTGTTCTGATTTACAGGGAAATGGATACAATGAGAATCGAGCAGTTCAGGCTAGAACGCCTCCAAGTATATTAATATTTTTGAGAATAACCTATTAAAACGAAGAGCCCTTGGAGTATGAAAATGATCATGTTCTTGTGACCCTTAGATGAGAAAAAAATCTCTCCCCAGGACACCAATATTCCTAATCTTCCAATATACCGGAGATGTGCATCAGTGCCTGTCTTCGCTAACGGAAAGAAATCTGAAATGTTTTTTACTTTCACGGCAAAATGGCAAAATGCAAAACTAGCATTCAGCGTTTCTTTTGAAGCTGGCCAGTAGAGACTGCGTGCTCCCAAATTCCAGCATCTGGAGTGCGGCGGCCTCCTCCTCCCTTGGGACTTTCCTGCAGCCCTAGCTTTGAACGTGTCTGTGAACACTCAACATCGATGGTACTTTAGGTTTATTGTGCCATTTGGTGTGATTTGGTAGCTTTTTCTTTTTTTTTGGCGGCCTGGGGGAGGTGGTGTCTAGGAACGCTAACAAAATATTCCTGTATACGTGAATGGGAAAATTCCTTCCCTACTTGGTAGCCTTTTGTTTTATGAATGGCTTTTGTGTAGCATGGAAAGCGGTACTAATTTTAAAAAGGTTCCAGAGACATTCAACGGCATGGCACTTGACTTCCGAAAACTCAGCCAATGAAATACCAGGAGGCACAGTTCTCTGAGACACGTCGGATCGCCACAAATCAGAAGGGACTCTTGCAAAATTGGGTTATTAATTGATACCGTAGTACATCCATCAGCCTCGGACCATCTGCCTTAAAGGCTGCCATTACTCAGGTTGCCAGCAGGGGGAGTCTGGGCCGGGCGGCCCAGAAAGGCTGCAGGAGGCTGAGACTGCTCAGGGACTGAGCCCCGGCGCGGAAGGTGGGCAAAGTCTGAGGGGGCTCCTCAATAGGCATCATCAGGTGGGCTGGCAGGCC